TCAAATGGAAGGACCACATAAAAAGCTCAAAGAGTATCAAGAGACAAATGAGAACTAAAAGAGTTGAGCAGAGTTGCCAGAGAGACATAAATAGACAAAAACCAGTAACAGTTCCTCTATTCCATCAAAAAATGGAAATAGAAAGAAAGATAATATTCACAAAAGCAATCAAAAGTACAAATATCTAGGAGTTAAATGAAGAAGAAAATATATGAGGACTCTTAGAAATTTTAAATATTAAAGGACAAAAAAAGATCTGAATAAGTAGAGAGAAATATTATGTTATTAGACAAAATGACTTAACACTGTCATGTTCACCCCAAATTAAAGTCATTGATGAGCTGGCAGAACAGGGCTGAAGTTAAGGTTCCACTACATCATATAGCTATTGTATTCTAGCCTGTAATCACACCAGGAGAGAAACCTCCCTGATCATGCAGCCTAAAAGTCCTATAAATCAAGGCTCAGGGTCCCTTCTCTCCCTGACTCTGATATGTAGCCACACTAGATTTTCTGCTAAAATGTAATGGGCAACAGTGACCCACATGCCTGCTACTGCTCCTGTCTCTAGGAGTTTCCCCAATGAATACTGCTTTAGCAACCTGGAGTCCCTGGCCATTTTACCTTATTTGCAGGATAGATACACATATATATACATAAATACTAAATATATTAATATCAACTTTTAATTCCATTAAAAAGAAATTAGAATTCAGCAAAGAAAAACTTTTGCCACCATTACAGTACTATCTGAAGTCTAAAGGTAAATGCTAATTTCACCTCTTAAATACTAAACTTATATTTAATATAGTTTTAAAATTCCAACCTGCAATGTTTTTAAGCGTTTATTAAGAGGTAATTCATCTACATCCAGAATAAAAACTTCAACTGCCATGTACAGCTTCTGTTGCACTTCATTTCTTTGCGCAACCAAAATATTCCCTTCACTCTGGAGGAAGAAAAAAAGAACCATAATTAATATATCATATATAATATGATAGGAAATATTTTTACACATTCACCTGTATGAAAAAGTGAACTAAAATTTAACATTACATTTTCCAAACATAGTAAAAATTCAGCACAAACACTTCTCTCCTTAGATCACCAAAATGACAAAGAATTTCCTTTCTTTTAATTAAAAATAAAACATTTAAGTTCAACAATCCTGCTCTACTAATTTTTATTTTTCCCATTATTTCTACAACAATGAAGTTTTTGTTTTTCTTTGAGAAAATTATACAAGTTCCTATCAATTATACATTTCCTCCTCCTCCTATTCCCATCCCACACTCAACTCCATCTAGTCATCCTTCAAGATACAGTTAAACACCAAGATGAAACCTCCCACTTCAAGCTATACTGCAAGGCTGTAGTAACTGAAACATCATGGTACTGGCACAAGAACAGAGACACTGACCAATGGAACAGGACTGAGAACCCAGATATAAAACCATCCTCATATAGCCATCTGATCTTTGACAAAGCAGACAAAAACATACACTGGGGAAAAGAATCCCTATTCAATAAATGGTGCTGGGAAAACTGGATAGCCACATGTAGAAGACTGAAGCAAGATCCGCACCTCTCACGAAAATCAACACAAAATGGATAACAGATTTAAATCTAAGGCATGAAACCATAAGAATTCTAGAATAAAACATTGGAAAAAACTCTTATAGACATCAGCCTAAGCAAAGAATTTATGAAGAAGACCCCAAAGGCAATCACAGCAACAACAAAAATAAATAAATGGGACCTGATAAAATTAAAAAGCTTCTGCACAGCCAAGGAAACCATCATTAGAGTGATGGACAACCTACAGAATGGGACAAAATATTTGCATGCTATACAT